AATTTCTGTTATTTCTTTTCTTCTACTTACTTTGAAATTAATTTGCTCTTCTTTTTCTAGTTTCCTAAGGTTAAAGCTTAGATTATTGATTTTAGATCTTTCTTCTTTTGTGATATGTATGTTCAATGCTATAAACTTCCCTCTAACCACTGCATCCCACAAGTTTTGATAGATTGTATTTTCATTTTCATTTAGTTGAAAGTATTTTTAAGTTTCTCTTGAGATTTCGTCTTTGACCCATGTGTCGTTTAGAAGTGTGTTGTTTAATCTCCACATATTTTGGAATTTTCTAGCTGTATGTCTGTTATTGATTTCTATTTTAATTCCATTGTGGTCTGAGAGCGTACATTGTGTGATTTCTATTCTTTGAAATTTGTTAAGGTGTATTATGACACAGAATGTGGTCTATCTTGGTGACTGTTCCATGTGAGCTTGAGAAAATGTGTATTCTGCTGTTGCTGGATGAAGTCGTCCATAGATGTCAATTCGATCCAGTTGATTGATGGTGCTGTTGAGTTCAACTGTGTCCTCACGGATTTTCTGCCTGCTGGACCTGTCCATTTCTCTTGGAGGGGTGTTGAAGTCTCCAAATATAATAGTGGGTTCATCTACTTCTCCTTGCAGTTCTATTGGTTTTTGCCTCATATATTTTGATGCTCTGCTGTTAGGCACATCCTCATTAAGGATTGTTATGTCTTCTTGGAGAATTGGCTAGTTTATCACTATGTTGTGCCCCTCTTTATCTCTGACAGTTTTCCTTGCTCTGGAGTCTGCTTTCTCTTAAGGGCAGGCCTTGTTAAGAAGAACAGAATGCTCTGGCATACTTCATAATGGTTACTTCCCCTCCCCCCAGCAGAAGCATAAGGGGATTTTTCTCTGATATTCACTGTGGGGACCTGGTAGAGCTTCGGAGAACTGTCAAAGAAAACTCACACAGGTGTGGGGCCCCCTGTGACTGAGCCCCCTAGAGTTTGTAACTGGCACACTTGTCCACAGTGAGCCTCCAGCAGTTTGTTAATTACAGTGCAGAGTTTCCTATTGTAGGACTGGTTCCTGCAGAGGTAGGTTTCTGCTTGGATAAACTGTGATTCTCTGTATTTTTTTTTGAAGGTTCTTTTCTTTTTTTTTGACATATAATTGACATATAACATTATATTAGCTTCAGGTGTATGACATAATAATTCGATATTTGTATATATTGTGAAATGATCACCATAATAAATCTAGTTAAGGGGCTGGCCCTGTGGCTAAGCAGTTAAGTGTGTGCACTCCGCTGCTGGCGGCCCCAGTTCAGATCCCCGGCGTGCACCGATGCACCGCTTCTCCGGCCATGCTGAGGTGGCGTCCCACATACAGCAACTAGAAGGATGTGCAGCTATGACATACAACTATCTACTGGGGCTTCAGGGGAAGGAAAAAAAAAAAGGAGGAGGATTGGCAACAGATGTTAGCTCAGAGCCAGTCTTCCTCAGCAAAAAAAGAGGAGGATTGGCATGGATGTTAGCTCAGGGTTGATCTTCCTCACAAAAAAAAAAAAAATCTTGTTAACATCTGTCACCACACATAGTTACAGAATTTTTTTCCTGTGATGAGAACTTTTAAGATTTACTCTCTTAACAACTTTCTTTTTCTTTTTTTTTTTTTGTGAGGAAGATCAGCCCTGAGCTAACATCCGTGCTAATCCTCCTCTTTTTGCTGAGGAAGACCAGCTCTGAGCTAACATCTATTGCCAATCCTCCTCCTTTTCTTTCCCCAAAGCCCCAGTAGATAATTGTATGTCATAGTTGCACATCCTTCTAGTTGCTGTATGCGGGACACCGCCTCAGCATGCCCGGAGAAGCAGTGCGTCAGTGCACGACCGGGATCCGAACCTGGGCCGCCAGTAGTGGAGCGCACGCACTTAACCACTAAGCCACGGGGCCGGCCCACAACTTTCAAATATACAATACAATGTTATTAACTATAGTCACTATGCTGTACCTTACATCCCCATGACTTATTTATTTTATCACTGAAAATTTGTACCTTTTGACCCCTTTACCCATCCCCCCCACCCCGTGTTCTTTGTATCTGTGGGCTTGGCTGTTTTTTTTTAGATTCCACATATAAGTGAGATCATATGGTGTTTATCTTTCTCTTCCTGACTTATTTGCCTTAGCATAATGCCCTCAAGGTCCATCCTTGTCACAAATGGCAGGATTTCCTTCTTTTTCATGGCTGAATAATATTCTTTTGTGTGTGTGTGTATGTGTGTGTGTATATATATATATACACCCAATATATATTTATATATATAAATATATATACCACATCTTCTTTATCCATTCATCCACCGATGGACACTTAGCTTGTATTCCTGTCTTGCCTATTGTGAATAATGCTGCAGTGAACATGGAAGTGCATATATCTTTTCTGATTCTCTGTATTCACCTGTCTGTCTCTCCAATTTTGAGGGCAACTGTTTGCCCTGTGACCTCACTTCTCTGATGGATCTAAGAACTGTTGATTTTTCAGTTCAGCTTTCTACTTGCTGTTAGGACAAAGTGATGACTTCCGAGCTCCTTACATGCTGGACTGGAAACTGGAAGCCTTTTCTCTTTTAATCATATTAGCATTAGCTGGACACACGGTTGCCCAGCTATAGACTACATTTCCCAGCCTCCCTTGCAGCTAGGTATGGCCAATGGGATGAGAGTAGGAGAGATGTGAGCAGAGTGTCTGACCCTTCCCTTCCTCTCTCCTCCTTCCTGTGAGCTGGAAGGCAGATGCAATGCTGGTGGATTGGCTTCCACCATGCAAAGGAGGACATCCCTCTAGGGAATGGCAGAGCAACAAAGTGGAAGGAACCTGCGTCTCTGGGTGACCACATGGAGCGGAGCTGCTCTGCCAACCAGGGCCACTCACCTCTGGACTGTTACAGGACAGAAATAAAGTTCTATTCTGTTTGACTCAGTATTTTGGGACCCTTTTATCAAGGCAGTTTGGCCTGTACCATAACTAATCCAGACCCCAAGCCCTTATCAAGCCTGGAGTTTCCTAGCCAGAGACAGCTGGCAGTGGTAGAAAGAACATGAGACGTGGGCTCAGAAAACAGGCCTCACTCCAGGTTTGGATGCTAATTTGCTGTGTGTTGCTGGGTAGCTCACCTGGCCTCTCTGGGCACCTCTACATCCTAGTCCACCTCATAAACTTGCCTTCAATGGAATGAGGGGCATACAAGTGCGATGATGAATTTGGGATTATCGGCCAGTGGTAAGAGAAGCTTTTTATTAAGATACTTCTGAGGATGAGGCTTAGTGTAGTTGTAATCTACAAGAACCCCCTCTGCCTGCTGTCTGCAGATTCCAGGTAGCCAGAGCTGAGGGTATTTCAGGAATGTCTCTTCTGGCCCCTTTTATTTTTTATTAACATACAGTAAAGCTGACTTTTTTGAGAGTAGCTTCCAGTTCTATGATTTTAACACATGCTTAGACTCCTGGGACCACCACCATGGTCAGCATACAGAACAGCCAGCTCCTCCTACTGGGCAGGGAGCACACGAGGGGCTCACCTGGGTCATGCAGTCATCAGTAGCAGAGTGAGTAGGACCCAGTAGGCTCAGGCTGGGCTGAGACGAGCAAGCTAGGGGAGCCCCCTCTGCTCAGACCAGCCTCCTCAATGCCCAGCCTGACTCACTGGCCCCTGAGGGGTCCTAGGGACCTTCTCAAACAGACCTGGCCCATCTGACAGGACCAGGGATGGGGTGGTCCCTCCACACTGGCCTTGGTCCCTTTGATTCCATTTCCAGAGGAACCATCTGGAAACTGGGCATTGGGCCTGCATTGCCTGCTTAGGAGCCTGCAGTGGCTCCCTAATGCCTCTGGCACCCATCCAGGCTGCTGAGCGTCTGAAGCCAGACATGAGGTCAGGCATTGTCCCTGAGCCCTCCCTGTTGCCCCTGCCCTGGAGTGCCTGCTGCTCCAGGGCTCCCTCTGGGCACCCTTGATCCTCCCTCCCCCATGGTCCCCCTTCTGTGTTCCCATGGCTCTGGCTCCAGTCCCCTAGTGACCCTTTGCTCCTACAGCCCTGCAGCTGCCTCTTTTCCACTCCCTTCCAGCCCACTCTCCGTGAGGCAGCTCAGAATCCTCCCACGGCTCCCCATTGCCCGTGAGACCAAGTCCCAGATCCTCATCTGCCGTTGAGGCCCCCCATGACCTGCCCTTGCCCCCTCCAGGCCCTGTCCCCCGACCCCCCACCGTTCCCCTCTCTAGTGCATCCATCCTCCTCAGCACAGACAGATCCCTCTTGGGATCAGAACACTCTATTTTACCTCGATTTAGCACTGATTTCACCCATAATGCACTATTTGACAAAGTATCTTTTTCTCCATGAGACTTTAAGGTAGGTGAGACCAGGCAGCTTGCCTTGCTCCTTCCTGTGACTCCATGAGGCCCAGTAGCTACTACGTGCTTGAGAAGAGGGGCTCTGGGTACCATATTAATGGGGTTCTTCCTGGCACCACACTTTTGTGCTTGCTGTTACCTCATGTTCAATGCCCTTCTTTCCTCTCTCTGCCCGTCTACATCCTACCTCTCTTCTAGAACTGGTTCAAGGCCAGCCTCCACCAGGAAGCCTGCTGTGATCACTCACCCCTTACACTTCCCTCAGTCCTGCCTGGTCTTCAACATTTCTGGACACATGGGTAGTTTCCCCATGGAACAGTGTGGCCTGAAGGTTGCACAGAGTCTCTGCAGCAGGCACACTAGTGGGAGGAAGGGGACAGTGCTGGGAAGAGAAGAGATCCCGGGAGCCTAGGGAAGGGATTCTGGGCTGGGCGGAAAAGTGGGCACCTCTGCTCCAAGGGCAGGGGAGGCAACAGCAGGTGCAGGCTGATCCAGCAACCATAGGGCTTGAATGTGGTCTCTGGCAGCAGGAATGCAGGGGCTGCAAGGGAATCTGGGAGAAGCCCAAGGACGAGATGGCTGCCAGGCTCTGCCGTGTGAGGGCTCAAAAGGCCTCAAAAGGAGCCAGGGCCTCCAGGGTTCCAAGGATGTGATGGTGGTCAGGCTGATCCTGGAGGCTGGTCTGACAGTGGCCAGGCTGACGAGGCTGCCCCCAGGCTGGGCCAGTGACCTCAGCAGGAGATGAGGAGGGAGCTGGTGAGCACGGGAGCTGCAGAGGCTGGTGCCGAGGGCTCTCTACGCAAGAGCTCACAGCCAGCCAAAGCTTGGTGCAGGGCATCCAGGATGGCCGAGGGGCCAGATATCCCCTCTGGAAGGAAAGAGTGGGCAGGGAGGTCGGGTCAGTTTGGTCACTCTGGCCCACAGAGCCACTCACCCTCCTCCCTGGGGCCTTCCCCAGCCCTGTCCAGCTATCTGCCCCTCTTGTCCCTCTCCCACTGAGTACCCTGGAGAAGGGGCCTTCTAGCGCATAATTTCTCCTTGATGCCAGGGGCCATTCTGGGCAGTGGACGTACCTGAGCCCTGCCCAGCGATGCCTGGTGAGGCCAGCGAGCAAAAATTTATCACCAGTCAGTCGCCCCATCAGCCTGTGAGGCCTTTTCAGGCAGGCACTCGGCCTGGCTCGTCTTGATTTAACTGGGCATAAACTGGCATTGATGAAATTCTGCTGCTCTGAACTGTCTAAACCAAGGAGACCACGTAGCTTAGTGCTTAAGGGAGAGATCCAAGGCCTCAGGTGTGGCCGGCACTTGACTCCTCCGTGTCTCAGTCTCTCCATCTGTGGAGCGGGTATAATAACAGCACTTCCTCGTTGGGCTGTTGTAAGGACTTAGGGGGTTAAAAACTCTTGAGGCATCTCCCCGCTGCCTGGCCCATGGTAAACCCAGTGACTGTGGGCAAGTCTGAATTGCCGGCAGCTCCCTCGGGGGTTTGACCACACTGGCTCTGTTTGGTGCTTCTCCCTGGGGTGTCTGCTCCCCTGCTGTTGTCAAAGAGAACTTTTAACTTTCCGAAGCCTGTTCCTGACTAGACCCTTTGCAAATGGTCAGGGCAGGAACGATGGTGGCATTTTGCAGACAAGACACTTAGGACAGAAGGTGCTGGATCAGGATTCCCTCCAGCCACTGTCCAGGCCCCGAAAGATAGGGAAGCTCTCTTACCATGTGCGAGGTCCCTGCAAGCATCCAGTGTGCCCAGCAAAATCTTCCCCAGGGCTCTTTTCGATATGTTCTTAAAAAGAAATGGAGACAGGGCTGGACCGGACGGTGTCCTCATTCAGCAGGTGGGACTTGGTGGCCCCTACGGGCTTCTGTGTGGCTCTCTGGGGGCAGACAGGCACCCCCCCAATCATCCCTTCCCCTGCACCTAGGCTGGCCGCACTGCTCAATGGGCTTCTCAGACTCTTGGTGGGTGGATGGAGCAGTGTGCAGGATCCATCCTATCAAAGACCCCGTATTTACGGATTACCGTCCATGTGCCCAAGGAGGCACTCGGGAGAAAGTGAGAGCATTTTTATGCATTATTAGCTCATTTAATCCTTGCGACAACCTATTTTATTTCGCTCATTCTAACCTACGAGAAAAGCAAAGCTGAGAAAGAAGGAGAAATTTGCCCAAAGCAATCCAGCTGGCAGGTAGAAAAAGCAGCATTTGCACCCAGGCTGCATGGCTCCGAGCTGTGCTGGGAACCACTGCCTTCACTGTCTGCCAGTGCTGGGCTGCCACTGGGTCACTCCCTCAGGCTGTGTCACATTGGTCTGGGACTCAGCAGCTATGTGACCTAGGCAGCCTGATATGCAGGCAAGAGCCCACTTCAAACCCTGAAGACCTGGGTTCAAATCCTACTTCCACCTCACAGTGGCTGTGCAATCCCAGCCAAGTTAACCATCTCTTAGAAAAAAAAATTTTTAATGGTTTGTTGATGCTATTTAGGAACACATTTGATTTCTGTGTTCTAATATTTTATCAGCAGCCTTGCCAAGGAATTACAATAATTTGCCTCTGGATTCCCTTGGGTATTCTGTGTACACAAATATGATATATAATTACTGATAGCTTCGTTTCTTCCTTTCTAACCCTTACACCCTTTCTTTCTTTTTCTTGTCTTACTGCATTGGCTAAAGCCTCTAGTTGGCATACAAGCAGTGATGACAGGATGCCTGTCTTGATTCTGATTTTAGAAGGATTCCTTCTAACATTTCACAATAACTGAGGTTTGTGAGAGGCAGTCGGCTGAGGCTCCTTGTCTGGGAAAGGAAGGTCCTTACTGTTCTTAATTTGCTGAGGGGTTTTATAATAAAAGGAGACTGTTATTGACTTTTCTACATCTATTGAGATGAATATATGGTTTTCTCCTTTAATCTGCAATGTGTTGTATTATGTTAATAGATTTTTTGATGTTGAATCATCTTTGAATTCCTGGGATAAATCCAACTTGGTCATGTTGTGTTTCTTTAAACACTGCTGGATTTTGTTTGCTAATATCTTATTTAATAATTTTGCACTCATGTTTAAATGTGACGTTAGCTTACACATTTATCCTCCTCTGGTTTTGAGATCAAAGTTATATTAGCTTCATAAAATGAGTCAGACAGCCTTCCCCTCCTTTGGATGAGCTTCCCTGAGCCTCCATTTGTGCATCTGGAAAGTGGAGATGACACCTGCTCACTGTAAGGATAGCTCACAGCTGGTGCCTGACACAGGCCAGGGGCTCCCTCCTAAGAGGTCCCTCCCCTGCCCCAGGTGTGCCAGCTCCCGTGAGCATACCAGGTCTCGGAGCCTCTGCAGAAGCTGCAGCACGTCCACCAGCTTCTCCTCCAGCAAGGAGAGCCGTACCCGCTCCGTCTCCAGCATCTGCAGCTCCAGCCTCAAGTGCTCATTCTCATCCACCTTCCGCTGCAGCTCTGCCTGCAGGGACCAACAGGGGCTCAGCGCCCGCCCTGCTGCCCTCTGCCCCGTACTCTTGGCACCATCCCTAGGTAGAGCCCGTGAGCTGCCTTGACCCTTTCACGGAGGTCATCTCATCTGGCCCCTTCAGCCTGCCAGGTGACTGGGCAGGTACAGCCACCCTGTCTCCCCAGTGATTCTACCAAGGCCTAGAGAGGCTGAACACCCGGCCTAAGGCCACACAGAAAGTCGGGCTGATATAAGAACATGCATGTTTTATTTTCTAGTCAAGGGACTCCTTTCTCCCTTCTCTATCCATCTGCTTTCTTTTCTTTTTAATAATTTTTTTTGGTTCCAAGCAATAGAAACTGATCTGGCTAGGTTAAACAGAAAAGGAATTTACTGGCAGGCTAGTGGGTCGATCCCAGAAAGGACTGGCAGCTGGTGAACCTCAGAAATGGGGCAGCACCAGGGGTTGAGACAGCAGAAATGTCTCGAGCCTCTTGTCCAGGGGCCACAGCTGAGAAAATACTCTCCAGCCACCCCCACCTCCCCCAAGATGGAGAGCGCAGGAGAGGGGCCCAACTGGCCCAGCCTGAGTCACTGCCCACACCTGGCCACGGGGCATCAAGATTGTCGATCCTGCCACAATACCAGGGGGTAGATGCCAGGCAGCCACCAAATGTACATGGCCACCTGCCTTCTAAAGCATGGATGCAAGGAGTGAAGCAGCCCCCACTCTTGGCACCCATGGAGGGAAGGAGAAGCAGCTGAAGGCATGGTGCCCTGGGGCACTCAGGGTCCACTCTGGGCTTCGGGCAGGAGAGAGAAGGCTCAGTGCCCACGCCCACTGCAGGTGGGCCTGGAAGGGGGCTTGGGAACACAGCCTGCAAGTCTCAGGAACCAAACTCCCTTGCCTCCTATTTCCACGAAATTACTTGGGAAAGGGGTGGTGCCTACGCCCTTTGGAGCTGCACCAGACCCCAGATGTGTAAAAACAAGTATGCGCTTAGTATTTCAGGTATATAAATATAAAGCTATCTTATATCAAAGCCAGTTTGCAAAAGTGCAGTAGGCTGGGGCTTAGTGAAATGATAACTCCCAGTAGCATTCCGCCTTTGATTACTGTGCAGTAGAGTGGAGGAGAGAGATGAGCACAAAATGCTAAGTGGTCTTACTGAAATGGAGACACCTTGCTGTTCGTGTTGCCTGCCAGGCGCCCCCACCCCGGCCTTTCCTCGGGGGAAGTGTCCTTTCTCCACTTCATCTGACTTTGATGGAGCTGCCAATCACTGACCCCTGCCTGCCTACCTGGGACGCCCAGGGACAGGCCCAAGACTGAGCCTGGGCCAACTGGAGTTCTTCCCTGAGATTTAATGTACTGGGAGTGAGGCTTTTGTTGTCCCCCTGGGGTTTCTTAATGGGCTGATGGGAACCTAGAGCTGTCTGTGATCCTGCCTGCCCTTCCCCTACCACATGAGCTAAGTCCCGCTGAGGTAGCGGAAAGTGAGGCCATCACCCAGAGACACACAGGGCAGACAGGTGGAGACAATCTAGTCCAAGTCCCTGGATCCAGCTGTGCCTGAAGCTCATCTCCTCAGCTGTTCTTCTGAAGCTGTTCTTCCTAGCTCCACGTTCTAATAAATTCCTGTTTTGCACTCAAGCTAGTTTGAGATGCATCCTTTAACTTGCAACCAAAATACTCTCCATTAAATCTAAATCAAAGGAAATCACATCTCCTCTCTGAGGCTTGGTTTACTCCTCTGTGAATGGGGCACAGGACTTGGCTAAGATCCCTCAGGGTCCTTCCAGCTGTCAGAGACTCTAGAATTGGTCCGGCCCTTTGACCTCTGGGGCTCAGCTGACCTCCTCCCCAGGTGACCCCAGGGTCTTCCCGCTGCAGCCCTGGGTCCCCAGCTGCTCCACCAGCATGGCGATGTGGGCCTCCAGCTCCCCCAGGGTGTGGGCATGGTTGGCAGAGCCAAAGTGGCTGAAGTAAGTCTTGAGTTTCTTGGCCATCTGGTCATCACACCTGCAGCAAAGGAGAGTGCCAGCACTGTGAGAGCTGCTTTCCAGATTCTGCTCCAGCCTCAGAGAGTAGGTGTTGTCACTGAGTCTGTCTCTTCCTGAAAGCTAAGCCATGCCACCGGGCCCCTAGGCTCAGCACCCGCCCATGGCTCCCTATCTCACTCAGAGGAAAAGCCAGAGGTCTCACCTGATCTGCCCTGTGACCTCTTCAACCTCCCTCCCCCCAACCTCTACTCACTCTGTTCCACCCAGAGTGCCCTCCTTGCTGCCCCTCCAGCGTGCCTCAGGGCCTTTGCACTTGCTATTCCCTCTTCCTGGATTGCTCTTCCTCCAACACCTGCATTGCTTATTCCCTCATTTCCTTCAGGTCTCTGCTCAAACAGCACCTTCTCAGAGAGGCCTTCCTAGCACTTCCCTCTGCCCGTCCCTCTGCTTCATCTCTTTTCCTCACATTTATCGCTAGAATAGAGGCTCCAGGAGAGGAGGGCCACTGTCTTGTCTATTGCTGTTTTCCCAGTGCCCCTAAGTTTGCCTGGCAGATACTAGGTGCTTAATAAATGCTCGTTGTTGACTTTAAGGATTGGTGATAACATAACCCTGGAAACTCTACAGCCCTTACAACATAATACTAAAGGTCGGTGCCCCCCACAGTAGGTCACAGCGGGGTACCTGCTGTGATCAGACACCGTCAGGCATTTTAGATTCTTGATTGCAAATCCTCACAAACGTGCTGGGAGCACGTCTTGGGACAGCGGCCGAGGGAGTGAGAGAAAACCGATGGGAACTCAGGCCCCAGGAAGCGTGCCTTCACTGACACGCTTGTTCCATCCTCACACGCTGGGGCCGTCCTGGCGCCTCCCTCCAAGGGATGAGGGACAGAGCCTCGGAGGGCTGGGAGGTGACTGAGCCTGGACTTGAATCAGGCCGGTCAGCCTTCCAAGTTCAAGCTCTGTCCCTGTATGAAGGGGCCCTCCTGCGCTCCGGGCTCCCAGCACGACGTGTGAGAGCCCGCAGCCCCCGGCGGGCAAGTCTCGGACACCGCCCCCCGGCACACGTACCCACTCCCGCAGCTGGAGAGGTGAGCCAGCAGTGTCTCCACCTCGGCTGGCGGCCTCTGCTCCTCCCGCCACTTCTCCTCATCCTCCTCCTCCTCGTCAGAGGCGGCCTGGCCCTCCACCGAGCGGAACAGCTGCTCATCCACAGCTGGAGAAGCACAGGATGTGGGGACATGGGACAAAGGGAGGAGAAGCAGGCAGCCCTCCCCAGGCGCAAGTGTGGGCAGGGCGGGCAGGGGGAGAGGCCCTGGCACCATCACCTCCTCCTCCAGACAGCTGTCCCCCGTCCATCTCCCCCTCCTCCAGACGGCTCTCCCCCCATCCATCTCCCCCTCCTCCAGACAGCTGTCCCCCCATCCATCTCCCCTTCCTCCAGACAGCTGTCCCCCGTGCATCTCCCCCTCCTCCAGACGGCTGTCCCCCGTCCATCTCCCCCTCCTCCAGACAGCTGTCCCCTGTGCATCTCCCCCTCCTCCAGACGGCTGTCCCCCGTCCATCTCCCCCTCCTCCAGACAGCTGTCCCCTGTGCATCTCCCTCTCCTCCAGACGGCTGATCCCCCATCCATCTCCCCCTCCTCCAGACAGCTGTCCCCCCATCCTCTGTGAGGTGAGGCCACCAAGGCCTGTGCAGGCCCTTCCCACGTGCCTGGCCCAGGAGCGGAGCTGGCCAATCAGAACCCCTCCCTGGCATTTCACATGGGGACACTGGGAGAGAGAAGCCCTTTCTCTTCTCTGCTTCTAAGATGACACAACAAGCCAGGGCCTGTGTGTGCCCTCAGAGGTGTGTCTTATTTCCATTTTAGGACATGGCAATGCCAGCCAGGGAGGCCAAGGCTCTCCGTCAGGGGCTGGGCTCTGCAGGGCATGGGCACCAAGCTGAACGGATTTTCAACTCTCAGGGAACTGCGTGTCCAGCACCTGGGGTGTGAAGCAAGGAGTGTCACACGTGTGACCACCTGTGACCCCAGCATGGCTGTGTCCTGTCGGTGCACTCCACCCCGACTGAGTGTCAGACACCCGGGGCCGTCACAGCTGCCAGCGTCAGGCCCCGACCCCAGGAGGCGGCCCGGCTCTCCTGGAGGAGCCCTCCCATCTCCACTTCACTCCACACTGGCTTGGGGGCCACGAGTCCCGCCTGGCCCGTCAGAGCGCGCTGGCTGGCACGTGACTGGTCAGGCAGGGCTGGGGACCCAGCGTGGGCCAAGGAGAGTCGGGCGATGTCTGACTCAGGCTTCCCGCGAAGAGAAAGGCCTCCAGTCGTCCAGCTGGGAGTTGAGGGGGTGCGTCCGGAGCTACTGGGGGCCGTCTTGTCAGATGAGGGGAGCGCCTTCTGCAAAATGAGTCCACGCAGAAGAAGAAGGCCAGGCAGCGAGAGGTGGGGTTCCGCCGACATCTCAGCGGGCCTGAAGCCTATGTGGACTTTTTAATTAATTAAGTGAACCAATAACTCCCTTTAACTTGGGCCAGTTCCGGCTGAATGGCCTGCCACTCTCAGGCAGACCACGTCCTGACTGACACAGCAGTGTACCCCCCCACCCTGGAGGGTCACACAGATCTGGGGTAGGCCTGGGCATCTGTATTTTAAAAGGCTCCTGGGCGATCACGGCCTCCTGGCTGATTTGGGAACACCAACTGAAGTGTGCTGATTTTGGACACCCATCTCTCTAGCCTGACCATTCCCAGCCGGGTGGGCTCAGGGCGCTTCTGTTTTGTCTCAATAGAAAGTGCCCCAGACCCAAAATAACCAGGGTCCGGGTAACTGTTCCAGGACTTTTGATTGTGTTTCCAATATTGACAATTTGTTTTTCGTTCTGGGAATTTCCTGATGCTGTACCTGTGTGTGCATGCATGTGTGCACGTGTATATGCATAAGTAAATGTATATGTGCGTGCATGTATATGTGCGTGTGTACATGTATATGTGTGTGCATATGTGTATACATGTATGTGTGTGTGTGTATGTGTGCATGCGTGTGTGGTGTCATTACTGTCATAGTCATTAACATCATCCTGGTGCCCGAGGCAGGGGCAGGCGAGGGGCTCTGACGCTGGGTGAGAGTGATGGCTCCCAGCAGCCCCTCGGCCCCAGCCCACCAGCTGGGAGAGCCCTGGGGCACCGGCCCAGCCAGCTCTTCTCTCCTCTGCTGGTGACTCCACCAGCACCAGGCTAAGGAGTTTAAGGTGATGGGCCTCTGTGTGGTTCTCTTGCGGGGTGACCACCCAGCCCCTGCTCACACCCTCTGATGACAGGGAGCTTATTCCACTCCAGCTCGCTGGACGCCCACTCGTCTTTGCATGGAGCTGATGGGAGACATGTTTTCCCCGCGCTGAGTGGGACGCTGCCTCCCTGGAACCCCCTCCCCCGCTAGGTCTTTGTGCTCTCTGGCCTGGGGAAAAGGGCCCCTGTGGGCTCAGGAAGCCCAGCCTCCATAGGTAGGGGGAGTGGAGTTCTGTTTGGAGACTGGACGGTAGCATCAGTGCAGATAGGACCCTGGGAGCAGGGCTGGGGCTCAGCCGGATGGACTGTGAGCCTGGCAGCAAGCCTGAGTGTGCAGGGACCAACCTTCATCCAGGGCTCTGCTCCCGGAGCCTCTATCTGACTGCCAGGCTCCGTGTAGAGGGGGGTCTGGGCCTCCGGTCCCACAATCCTCAGGTTCACCACTCTTGGCTTCTGGCTCTGGGCTGGCTCGTGGGGAGGTTGGGAGCTGGGTGCCCTCTGACCTGTGGGCAGGTGGAAGACACATATGTTAGAGGGGGAGAGGGCTTGGCCAACTTCCTGCAGCAGAGTGTGGGATGTGGGCCCAGCCTCTTCCATCCTTACTCTGCACTGGTAAGCTGTCTCTGATGTGCCTGAAGGAGACCCTGGATTATCTCTGTGGCTGATCCTACTGGCTCCCTACCCAAGGGCCAGCATGGCAGAGTCAGCCTTCCACCATCCAGGGGAAGTGCTGGATACTCATGCTCCCAGCCTCCCTTGAAGCTAAGGCACCGACATGTAACCCAATTTTAGCCAGTGGGACCAAAGGCAAAATCTGAGGAGCCTCTGAAACAGATTTTTATCCCTTATGAAAAAAGAGAGTCAGAAAAGGAAATGCCCTTACTTCCTGCCCTTGGACATTGTCATGTGAAGATATGATGTTTGGAGTTGCTGCAGTCATCTTGTGACCATGAGGAAATGGCTGAGAGAATTACAGAGTAGTTGAACAAGAGCCCTGACATCTTTCAGTGGCTGAGTTAACCAGTCCTGGAGCCACCTGCCTCTGGACTTCTTATTATAGGTGAGATTAAAAAAAAGTCTTCATTGTTTCAGTTACTTTTAATTGCATATTCTGTTGCTTGTCCGTGAAAGCCTTTAAATGAATCATCTCTCCTCTTTGGGCTTTGGAGAAACTACTTCATCCTTATCAATCAGTTTCCTCACTTTTTGAGTATTCATTTTCCATGTCCCTGCAGTTACAAGGTCAAGGGATAAAAGAAAAAATATCTATCATAACACGAAAATATTTACTAATGAACTGGCCACTTATTAAACTAGTCCTCAGTGCCCCTCCTGCCATTGTACACCAACACCTGTCCCTCCGTCATCTCTTCAGCATCTGCTGTTACTCCATCTCTCCCTGATTGTCAGACACAACCTAACACAAACAGACTGCAAGGTGAACCTGCACATCTTGAAAAAGGGGAGGTTATGTGATGTCAGTGAAGGGGATGCCGGAGAACTGCGCGAATCACAGGCAAAACCACAGACGCTGGCGACGTGGCAGAGCCGGGCCAGTTTACAAGTGAAGGAGAGAAGATCAACAGGATTAGGAAGGGCCGGAGCACCAGAGAGACTCGCAGGACTGGGCAAAGCCCTTAGAAAAACTAATTAAGATCTCAAATACTTTTGCAAAAGAGACCCTCTTCATGATTAAGCTACAAAAATGAAAAAGCATAAAGTTAAGGATGCACCATTGTGTTCTCACCCAGTTTTGTTGGAAAAATTATTCCAAAAGGAATAATCAACCCTGAATCATCCTCGGTATAAGAATTAGTGCATTACACTTCAGCCATGAAGATTACTTTTTAAGATGAATGAAAAACTAAACATAGAATTACCGTGTGATCCAGCAACCCCACTTCTGGGCATACACCAAAAAGAATTCAAAGCAGGGACTCAAGCAGATACGTGCACATCCATGTTCAGGGCAGCATTATTCACAGTAGCCAAAAGGTAGAAACAACCCAAGTGTCCATCGACAAACGAATGGATAAACAAAATGTGGTCTATACAGCCAGTGGAATAGGATTCAGCCCTAAAAGGGAAGGAAATTCTGACACCTGCTACAACATGGACGAACCTTGATGACATTACGCTAAATGAAATAAGCCAGTCACAAAAGGACAAATACTGTATGATTCCACTTACGCGAGGTCCCTAGTAGTCAAATTCACAGAGACAGAAAGTGGAATGGTGGTTGCCGGGGGCTGGGAGAGGGGAATGGGAAGTTAGTGTTTCATGGGGACCAAGTTTCAGTTTGGGAAGATGAAAAAGTTCTGGAGATGGATGGTGGTGAGGGCTGCACAACAGTGTGGGTGTACTTAATGCCGTTGAACTGTACACTTAAAAATGGTTAAAATGGTAAATTTTACGCCATGTATAAATTTTACCATAATTTTGAAAAAAGAATGAATAGCTGAAAATGTCACCTGGTTTTATTAAATAAATAGTACGGTAAACTCACTTTAATACATTTTGGTTTTATTTTTCAAGTTAAAAGTCTCAGTCCAACCTTGCACGTGCACGTACGCGCGCACACGCCCCTCTCTCTGGTCCCATTTTGTGTGGATCCACTTAAGTGGATTTCTCAGCACCGAACATTACTGGAAAACAAGGACCCTGGTACTCAGTTCCCGGACCGCACAGGCCCACTGTGAGGGCAGAAGCCACACGGCAGCCAGGAAGTTCACTAGGCAGGGTGAACCTAGTGCTGCCAGCGAGGAACCGGCAGGGGGCCCCGGGCCGCATCTTGAGACGGGCCACGGCTTGGGTTCTCGCGCAGGCTGTGAGGGCAGCAGAGGAGCCAGGACGCGTCAGCTGAGCCAGGAGCTCGGCTGGCCGCGTGCACGACAGCGAGACCACGGCAGCGGTGCCGCAGTGACTGGCACGGAGGCGGAGGCGCCCGGCGAGGCCAAGCAGGCGCGGGCGCCCAGGGTTTGTCGGGCGAACTCAGCACCCCGAGGACGGGCTCCGGAGCCAAACAGGAGGGGGCTGCGGGGCCGCACGGAGGCGGGCCGGGGCATGCGCCTTCCCTGGCCTCCCCATTCGTGACAGCTCCCCGATTGCCGTCCGGGTATCTGACCCGCTCACCTTCTCCTCGCAGGCAGCTCCCCCGCTCAGAGGAGGGCGGGCACGTGGCTCGTCCCCACGCAGACCGGCACAATCCCACCCCTGGCCCCCCGGGATGGCTCCAGGGCTGCACAGGCAGCCAGTAAGACGCAAGGGGCTGTCTGCTGGGGGTGCCGCGAAACTGAAGCTGCTTCTCCTGCCGCCGACCGCTTGCTCCATGCCTGGTGAGGTGTGAGGATGAAGTGGGGAGCTGTGATAGCCATTTGTGACTCTCAGGGGACAGACTGAAGATGCTGAGGGCTACGGGTAGAGCCGAAAGATGACTGCAGTAGAAACTGGCTCCTCGTTAACATTATTTGAATTGCTGGATCAGGCTCTGCCTGAAGCCAGGACTAACCTTAAACTTCTGCGTTTTATGAGCCAATAACTCTGATAAAGTCTGGCATTCAAGCTCCCCCAAGGCGAGCCGAAAATGAGGATGTGGCTTGGCAGCAGTCAGTGTGAAAACCCCCTGGGTGGGGATTCTTGTTTCAATGTGAAACTGTGTGACTGGAGCTTAGGTCATATTAGCTGAGGTCCAACTGGGGAGGTGACTGTCCCTCTCTACTCCAGAGGCTCAGCTCACAGCCTGAAGAAGAGAAAGCACAGGGGTATAAGGTCACTGTCTCCAAGACTCAAGGGTGGAGGCGAGTAGCCTGTTTTATGGCCCCCAGAGGGGAATGCTTGACCAGGATGGGGGAGGGGGGACAAAGATGAGAGTTGGAGAGTCAAAAGGAGGCAGTTTTATCTCACTTTGAGGAAAAACTTTCTCACAACGATTCCTGACCAAGAATGGAATGGGCTGCCTTGTAACGTAGTGAGCTTCCTGGCAGGGCAGGTATGTAAGCAGGTAAGGGACTTTAATGGGTGGAATTTTGAATAGAGTTGACCTAGACAATATCCAAGTCTTCCCAATATGAAAAGTTTCTTCTTTTCTTTCCTAAATTATTTAAGGGCTTCAACAGGCAAAGTGAGATGAAGGAACAGCCTTCATTTAAAAGTTTCCTAGCATAGGCTGGCTTGGGTAGACTGGACCCTACCCTCCCTGCTCCCCACAGCCACTCGAGTCTTAGAAGCCCTGCTGCAAGAGCAACTTCTGCATTAACAACAACAACAACAACTGTATTTTTCAGAGCACTTACCAGGTGCCAGGCCCTGCTCTCAGCGCTTTCAACATTTTCCTCACAGCAGCCCTATGCGGAAGCACAGAGAGCGAGAGGAACCTGCTCAAGCCACACAACTTGGAAATGGAGGAGCTGGGATTTCGACTCAGGCCCGGGGCTTGAGGCCCGCACCTCAGTGGCGCTGCCAGGCGGCAGGGAAGCTGGGAAGGCAGGCTCTGGAACGCCCCAGCCCAGCTGCTGTCCTCATTAGGTGACTCCAGATCACATGCAAGGGAGCTGGGGAGAGGGGCCACGGAGAGCAGAGTCTGGAGAGCGGGACAGATGAGGACACACTCTGGAATTTCCTGAGAAATAGCACGTGGCTGCAGACAGCGCGTCTCCCCGGGGAGGTCTGGGGCGTGCTGCTCCTGCCTAGGAGCTGGGGGTGAACGGCTTCTGTCGCTGCCCCCTCTGCTGGGCGGTCTGCAGGAGCACTCGCACAGTCACACGACGTGCTGCAGTACCTCCACCTGCAACACACACGCAACAATCCTCCCCACCTGCGGCCGCCCCAGCTTCACGGCAGAACTTTTTAAAAAAAATTTTTTGTTTATTGCGGTAACATTGGTTTAGAACACTGTATAAATTTCAGGTGTACATCATTATACTTCTATTTCTGCATGGATTACATCACGTTCTCATGTTCACCACCCCAGAACTTCTTGGAAGAATTGCCTCTACCACGCAGCCGCTCCAGTCCCCTCGTGTCACCCACCACTGCTGTGCCGCTGGATGGTCCCCAGGCATCTCAGATGTCTCCCGTCATCCTTGTCTTCTTCCCTCTGCTCCTCCTGCTTCCCCCTAGTGAAAAGCACCATCTCCCACTTGGCCAGAGAGTGGCCATTGGCTGTGGCCACCTGGAAGTCATACGCGAGGGCTCAGATCTGACCCATCGCTCAGTTCCCAGCCCAGCGCCCAGACCAGGGGTGCCGCAGCGAGAATGCTTGGCAAAGAGCCATTGTATACATGCTATTTTGTGGCACCTATGATGTGGGCAGGGAGAGGAGGGAGGGGGGAGGAGGAGAGAAGGAGCACAGCCCCTGCCCTCAGTAGACCTTTGGGTGGGGTTGCAGAGGGAGCCGTTGCTCTTTAGGGTCATGCCCACTGGACTCAGGGCCAGACCCCCCACAGACAAGGAGGGCGCTGGGTCTGCAGAGCAGGGAAGGTGTCCTGGAGGAGGCAGGACTTGG